TTTTAGAAAGTGTGTCAAAATCTGAAACCTGAGATGCGTGAACTCCGCAGTAAGCAAACAAGTATTCAAGCCATTTGGGAATTTTGAAACTTTTGTGTGAAAGATTTCGATGATACGAAATAGTGATGCCAAAGAGACCGGTGATAATATATAAGGTAAAAGAAATCAAAACGGCACCCCAATTTATTTGAAACGGCCCAAAAATGCAAAGAAAATGCAAAGAGAACAACGTGAAGGCCACTTTTTTGTCAATGTTGGTCCATTTTTTCTTCAAAGATGACATTGGAGGTTTCACAATTCTCTTTGGTTGTCTTGAAGCATCCATTAGAGTGGGGTTGCTCTAGTTGAGGAGGGTTCATATGCATTTATAGTGCATCTTTTAAGTCACAATGTAATAATTTAAGGCTCTTCCAATATACATTATGTAAATGCAATATAACTACTACAAGTTTGTCAAATATGATATTGATTATGAAAAGATGGATAATTACCTAGCTACATATAGTAATAATAATAGTATTAATTCTTATTAATAAAAATAATAATGATAATTTATTATCCATTTAAAATGATTGTTTTCATTTAAAAAAAAAAAAAAAAACAACTATACCATATTGACTTTAACATAGATTTAGTTTTGATGTTAACATTGTCTATGAAATAAGTTTCAAGTCTCCCTTCTTTTATTTTTTGTGTGATATATTTTAAATGTAGTTGAAAATGTATTATATAAACAATATAATATGTTTTAGAAAATATTACTTGATTAAGTCCATCAATTTAAAATATAAACTTTAACATATGAATTAGTGGGAAGTTGAGATTGAGAATAAAATGATTAAGAAGTGTTTAAAGAACTGAAAGTTTAGGTGCAATTTTTTTTTTTTCGGTAGTTCAATCATAAAAACTTTAAAATTAAACCTTATTTTTTTGAAGCAATTTATTTTAGGTGACCTCCAAAAATTTGTCCTAAAATGACCTTGTTGCAAGCAGAGAAATGTTTCAAACAATTAATTATAGAATTTCAATTTGAGTCCTAGAATGGGATGTTACATTTAACCAGAATTACTGTCTCAAACTATCATTTAACAATCCTTGTAAACATATAAAGTGCAACCTGACAACTAATCTAACTCTAGTGCATATACAAACACGACCAATCTAAACAATTCATTTCAAAGTATTAGTCGACGACACTCTAATATTTCCATGTATTACAATAACCATAATTGTGAGTTGAGAAAATGAGTTGAACGGGTTGAATCGAATCAAATAGTTTAACTCCCTCACCTTCTTCGCGTAATTTTTCTAGGGTTTTTGTTATTGAACTTCGTGACAGCTTTCAAGTAATGTTGCAGCAACAACAATCTAATATCAAAGTGGACTCGGTCGAAGATCGAGGGATAGGTTGAGTACTCACAGGAGGTGCGACAATTAATTGAATATTTGAGAGGTGATGATATGTTATAGCATTTGTTTGTTTGTCATAGAGTCAACCACTTGGTTTAAATTTAATTAATTCTCCATTACAATAGCCAATAGGTTTGGGTTAGCGGTGGAGATTCAAATAATTGTAACAGCTGGCGGCTCATTCATTTGGCTTAAAGATTAAATTAACTCTTCATAATTTCATACCTAATTAGTTTGGTCATATTAGCTTATAAAGTTGAAACCTAATCTTTTATGTTCTAAAACCCATTCTCCCAAACTACCCATCAGGCCATGAGAGGGCTAGAATCCAATTTATATCATGACATAGTTCATATACAATCGTGGGAAAATTGAAGGTAAAAAGAGAAGAAAAAAAAAAGAGAGAGAGAGAGAAAGTTATCCACATCGATTATGTTGAAGAAGTGGGGAGTTCAACTCCACTGTAAAAAGTGAAGTTCCACGCTTAATTTCAACCCACTTGAACAGTTTAAAGCTAGTCGAATATAATATGAGGTACTTTCCTTTCATCTCACCTGATGGGGTTTGAACCTAATTGGATTCGACTTGGGTCTGTTATGTTTGAATTCTTTCACACAAGTGTCAACTCTTTCGAAAGTTTTCAAGGCTAGTATCACTACCTTTGTGAGTAGTTTAATTAGGTTTAACTAGTTTAAATTATTTGACCTAAAATTAGGTGTAATTATTTTGTACAAAATTAATTTTATTTAAATTTAAATTATTAAGAGTAAGTTTAAATTAATTTATGCAAATAAAGACCCATGTAAATTCTTGGGAGGGGAAGACGCTAGGTAATCAAGATATGACCCTCATGACATATATGTAGTAATCAAGATATGACCCTCTATATTTATAGTGCATTTTATCAATACTCTATCATCAACGTTTAGATCATTACTCTTGTTATTTACAACAATTGTTCCATCGTTTTTCTTATTGAGAATTAAACAAATGGACATTTCCAGTCTAACTCATTGTCTACATAAATTAAGTTATTAAAAAAGATAGAGGCCAGACAAGCATTAAAGGCTCGTTTAGTAGATAGCCAACTAATCATCGATATAATATTAGGGTTTAGAGTTAAAAAACCTGAAACAAAATTAAAATATGACATAAAAAAAAAATCTATGAATCTAAATCTAAAGAAAATAAAAAGGGACAAAATTTTCAAATTTACCTCAAGTTAATAATTTGTTTTCAAATTTTATGATTAATGAAATTGAATAACATGTAATATTATTTGTTTATTTTTCATTTCATCTTGATTAGGAGAAGATTGATAGATAGATACATGCATAGTTATATAGAAGTACTTACAGTAATACTTATAATAACACTAATAATGATAATTTATTACGTTAAAAATAATTATTTTCAGTTATTTTTTAAAAAAACTACTATAGAACAATTCATTTAACTCTATTTGAAAAATACAATTAATTCGCATGCTCGCTAGTCTCCATACATTGGTAATTTTCTTGATACAAAACATATTAAGTCATACTTATGAAGAAAAACTTAAGCTCAATCCTAATTTGGGCATAAAGACAAGGACTATGAAATTAGACCTTAGTGATCGGACTAAAACTGTAGTGTAATGACTCTAAATTTCTACTTACCTAGAGTGACTACTGTCATCGTAACAAAAACATTTTTGTACGGAAATAAGCGTTTAAACTTCATCTTAAGACACTGTCATGGACTTACGTGTTCGAAAACGTGTTTAAAACAACAAAACGAAACACTAGATGAAATAAACAAGCATTAAAATTAAAAACACCTCATTCTAATGTAGCTCTAAGAAAATAAATACAACTACCCTATGTATGTGCCATTGTCTCGAAATAAAAGTAGCACGTGACTCGAGTATTTTAAGAAATAATGAATAAATGGCCCCACTATTGGGGTTAGATGCATACACATGTAATCATGAGTGAGACCTGTCATATCAGCCTATATTCCTTAGGCCGCTATCCTAAACGGGTTAATTGGATGTATATTATTGTTCTACACGATCCACACATGCGAATATGGATCTACCAGTAGGTTCGCACACCTCCTGATCTAATTAATTGTCAGGCAAAAACATTCTCTAGTAGCGGTTGATGTCGGACACCCATTTAGGAATAGCGATCATCGCAACATTATAATAAATATAATAATCATTTTTCTGCCTCGTAGTGTACGTTCGAAACATCGTAAATGAAGAAGGGGTATCCCCGGATGCATGAACCCACAATGATGCATGAAGTCCTAACATTTTTTCCTTTATTATCATGTATAACAATCTGTCTAGCATTTTTATTTTATAGTCGTATCATTTCATAACCACTTTACACATATCATCATACCACATCAATTTCTAACCATATATATAGTAAGGTCATTTGCTTGAGTGGCCTTTGGGCCAATGTTCTATCCTATTTGAGGTATTCCACCATATTAAGAACTTTAGTCGAGTTCTATCCTATTTGAGGTATTCCACCATATTAAGAACTTTAATCGAGATCTATCCTATTTGAGGTATTCCATCATATTAAGAACTTTAGTCGAGATCTATCCTATTTGAGGTATTCCGAGGTATTCCACCATATTAAGAACTTTAGTCGAGATCTATCCTATTTGAGGTATTCCATCATATTAAGAACTTTAATCCAATTCTTGAAGAAAAGTCAGAGTGGAAGTTAAATTATTTGAACCGATATCGTATAATAACGGTATTGACTTAAATTATTTGAACAAAGGGACTCTACAATGGTATGATGTTGTCCACTTTGAACCTAAGCTCTCATGGTTTTGCTTTAGGCTTCCCCAAAAGGTCTCATGCCAATGGAGATACTATTTCTCGATTATAAACCCATGATCATTCCCTAAATTAGTCAATGTGGGACTCAAACAATTATGTAGACCGTTTTCCCTCTGTGGCATCCGATAGTTTGAACAAGCACTAGCTCAACGAGCGCCTACAGTTCCGTATATGAGCCTCTCTGGTGGGTTCACATGCATGTGCTTGGTCGTGTGTGTAGAGAGATGTACTACAAATTCAATCTTATCTAAATTGGTAAGCATAGTCCAAGACCATAATGTTTTTATGAAAATATAGGTTTCACCATGATTGCATTTGATTACATTTCCCGACCTCAACAGTAGGGCTACTTACTGAGCAAAATACTCAAGTCACATGCTACTTATATTTTTAGGAAATGGTAACACACTCTTCTATGGATGAGGACATCTTTGTGTAGGGTATAAGAATGAAGTTAAGATAGTTGCATTTTCTATATAAGTTGTAGCTCTAAGGTTACATCAGGGTGTTTTTATTACTTTAAAATTATTGTCATTTCGTTTTTGTTATTTCATCGTTGTTTGCTTTTATTTGAAATGAATTTTGCAGACGTTTAAGTCTATGACACGTTTATCTGTGAATGTTTCTAAACGAATTTCTAGGCACATATCACAAAAAAAAAAAAAAAACTTTATGAAAAAATAAATCCAAAAAGTCCAACGCCATAATGTAAATTGATGCATAAAGTTTTATTAAAATGGTAGCAACTAATTTAATTATATTGTTATTTCTTTTATTCCACACTCTGAAACATTCCATATAAAACATCACTCGAAGAGAGGCTCCTTTTAGTTAGTCTTTGGCCAACTTTTGCATCTGACTTTGGGATGGCAATTTGACATGAGTGGCCACTCCAATGGCTTGGAGAAACACAATAACATACCAACCAGGGTCAAATTGCCACCATTCAATGCCCAACCTAGCTGAGTACTCGAAAGCATGGTGGTTATTGTGCCAACCTTCTCCAAATGCAAGCAAACTCATCCACCTATGAAAAAAAAATGCATTTTTTTTAAGCAAATAGAAAAATATAATTCTTTGGTTAATACAAACCTCCATTTCTTAATAAACATACCATTTAATAATTATTGAAAAGTATTCTTAATATTATGATAATATGAAAATGGATTTCGGTAATCATTTACTCAACAATGATACACACCAATTGTTTCTCGATAAATCGTTCGTTTTCCATGGTTGCTTTCCCCATATATGGCATATTGAATTCACCATAAATGTTGAGTGTAAAATCATTACAGTTCTTACACACTGTCTAACAAAAAAGAATAATGTGATACATTTTATCTATCGTAACTATATAGATTTGTAACAAAAGAACTAAGAAAATGATGATAGAGGTAAGTTTTTTTACCGTTCCCCAAATGAAGTAAGGAATCCCTCCAATGCCATAAAGTATGATCGCAAGGACAATTGAATGAAGAAAATATGTTTTACGAATAAATTTGTAAAAAGTTTGGTTCTCCAAATCCCGAGCATTATCCAACTTTTCATGCCTTGCAACCATTTCACTTGCACTTCCATCCCACTTATGGAGAAACCAAATAAGATGACTAAACCAAAATCCTTTAATCGGGCTATGTGGGTCTTGTTCTGTATCAACAAATTGATGATGATATCTATGTGTGCTCACCCAATAGATTGGATCACCCTAAATTTTGAAAAGTATTAAAAATGTTTAAAATACAAGATATGTTTTATTATCAATCCGTTTATAAAATCAATCTTAAATGCATCTAATTTGAAACTTCTAATAATAAAAGAATAAAGTGTGTCATGTAAAACCTGAAGGGCATGAACTCCACAATAAGCAAACACGTATTCCAGCCATTTAGGAACTTTGAAACTTTTATGAGAAAGATTTCGATGATACGAAAGAGTGATACCAAATAGACCTGTAATAATAAATAAACAAAAACAAATGGAAAGTGCACCGAAATTGATTTGTAATGGCGCAAAAATACAAAGAAAATGCAAGAAGACTAAAGCAAAAGCCAATTTTTTGTCCATCTTGTTCCATTTTCTCTTCCCAAGCGACATCGGAGGCTTCACAATTGTCTTTGGTTCTCTTGAAGCATCCATTAGAGTCGGATTGCCTTTGTTGAGGAGGCTTCACCTCACCACCTCTTGCATATGCATTTATAGTGCATCTTTTAAGTCACAATGTAATAATTTAAGTCTCTTCCAATATACATTATTTAAACGCAATATAACTACTACAAGTTTGTCAAATATGATATTGATTATGAAAAGAGGGATATTTATCTAGCTACATATAGTAATAACAATAGTATTTATTATTATTAATAACAATAACAATAATAATGATAATTTATTATTCATTTAAAATAATTGTTTCATTAAAAAAAAAAAAAAAAAAAAAAAAAAAAAACAACTCTATCTTATTGACTTTATCATAGCTTTAGTTTTGATGTTAACATAGTCTATGAAAGAGGAGTTTCGAGTCCTCCTCCCCTTTTTTGTTGTGTGGTATATTTTAAGACTAGTTGAAAATGTATTATATAGAAAGTTTTAGAAAATGTTAGATATTTACATCATTAATCGTACTTAATTAAGTTCACCATCAAAATTAAATGCTTCAAATCATAAATTTTAACAGCGGAATGAGAGTGATCTCGAGGATAAGATAATTTCATAAAAACTCTAAAGTTAAACATGATTTTCTTAAAGCAATTATTGTGGGGTGACCTCCTAGGAAATTTTTTAAGACGACCATGTTGCAAGGGATGCAGGGAAAATGCCCGAAGCCATTAAGTGTAGAATCTGAATTCCACATCCTAGTTTGAAACTTGGAATGAGTTGTTACATGTACCGTCTTTAGCTATCATTTAATAATCATTGTGAACATATAAAGTGCAACCTGAGAACTAATCTAACTCTGGTTCATATACAAACCGACCAATCTAGACAATTCATTTCAAAGTATTAGTCGACGACACTCTAATATCTCCATGTACTACAACAAACATAATTGTGAGTTGAGAAAATGAGAATCGAATCAAATAGTTTAACTCCCTCGCCTTCTCGCTTAATTTTCCTTGAGTTTTCCTTTGTGACAGCATTCGACAACAATCTAATATCAAAGTAGTGGACTTGGTCGAAGATTGAGGGATAGATTGAGTACTCACAGGAGGTGCAACAATTAATTGAATATTTTAGAGGTGATGATATGTTATTGCATTTGCTTGTTTGTCATAGAGTCAACCACTTGGTTTAAATTTAATTAATTCTCCATTACAATAGCTAATAGATTTGGGTTAGGGGTGGAGATTCAAATAATTGTAACAGCTGGCGGCTCATTCATTTGGCTTAAAGATTAAATTAACTTTTCATAATTTCATACCTAATTAGTTTATAAAGTTCAAAGCTAATCATTTGTGTTCTAAAACCCATGCTCCCAAACTACCCATCACGCCGTGAGAGGGCTAGACTCCAATTTACATACTTCCGGAGTTCGATTCCACTGTAAAAGAGAAGTTCGTTGTTTAATTTCATCCCACCTGAACGGTTTGAAGCTAGTCGAATATAATACGAGGTACCTTGCTTCCTTTCATCCCACATGATGGGATTTGAACTTAATTAGATTTGACTTGGATTTGCTATGTTAGGATTCTTTCCTACTAGTTTCAACTCTTAGAAAGTCTTGAATTATTTTATGTAAATGAAGACTCACGTTAATTCTTGTTAAGGACGAGAAGACGTTATGTAATCAAGACATGAGTCTCATGACATATATGTAATAATGATCTTATTATAAATTAGATATGATATATGCATATATTTGAAGTTCAACCTACATAAGATCGAAACCAAACATTTGATAAAAAATACGTTATATCCACTAGCCATTATTCACATCGACATACATAATAATACATCAATTTGATAACAGATAACTGAAATAAATCTTCTAAACAAAGCACACAAACATTAGGCGTAATTAATTTTTCAATTCTCAAACATTTATAGAAGAAATTAAAGAAATTATTTTAATGATTTTGAAACGCCTTCTTTTGGATTGTCCATAGCTAGCCTTTGCTTGTGAGATTCAGAGGGTTGTTTTACATCAGTGGCCACTCCAATGGCCTGAAGAAACCAAATAACATACCAACCAAGATCGAGCTGCCACCATTCAATCCCAACCCTAGCTGAATACTCAAATGCATGATGATTATTGTGCCAAGCTTCTCCAAATGAGATCAAACTCAACCACCTAAGAACACAAAGAACCCTAATAAATTGCAAGATACAACAAACAAACCTTAACAATAATGAACTTACCAATTATTTCGAGTCAAATCTTTAGTTTGCCATTGTTGTTTTCCCCATGAATGGCAAATTGAATTTACCATAAAGGTTGAATGTAAGGACATGACGATCCTCACACCCTACCAAATGAATAGAGATTCTTTGTTCAGATTCATAGAGACATTCTCAAAATTCGAAACGGGTAAGATCATAATCTAGATATTGCAAACTCTCTCCCAATAATCTTCAACATAATCTAATGAAAACAAAAATTAATTGGAGAGAGAGATTTTAGCTTACCATTCCCCATACAAGAAAGGGTGTTCCTCCAACAACGTAGAGAAGAATTGCAAGAGCTATTAGATGAAGAACGTATGTGTCATGAATAAACCGATAAAATGTCTGTTTCTCCAAATCACCAACATTATCTGGCCTTCCATACTTCAAAACCAATGTAAAAACGCTTCTTTTTTTATCCTTATGATCTATAAAGTACTCCGGACAAACTTTTTTCGTCAAAGTAATGGAATCAAAAAGCCATGTTATGTAACTAAACCAAAATCCTTGAGTAGGACTATGTGGATCTCCTTCCGTATCAGCATATTGATGATGACATCTATGAGTACTCACCCAGTCGATTGGATCACCCTACAATTCAAACGAAGTAAATATAAATAAAAAAATTTCAAGTAATGTGAAAATGTTATGAGATTTTAAAAAGTAGAATCGAAAATACCAAACCTGAAACGCATGAACTCCACAATATGCGAATAAGTATTCAAGCCATTTAGGAAGATTGAAACTTCTATGTGAAAGATTTCGATGATATGAAATACTTATTCCAAAGAGACCTGTAATGACATATAGGGCAATGGCTACCCAAAATGCATTCCAAGTGAATTGGGATGGTGCAAAAATGCAAAGGATATGGACAATGAAAATGTAAAATGCAACAAATTTCTCTCTGATGGTCCATTCTCTGCTACAAAATTGCATTGCAGGCTCCATATTGTCTTTTGATTCTTGTTTTGAAATTCCCATTTTGCAGGGCTTTGGTGTGGTTCTAAGTTAATTAGCCACCTGTTCTAGCCACTATAAATATAGTGCATTTTATCAATACTCTATCATCAACGTTTAGATCATTACTCTTATTATTTACAACAATTATTCCATCGTTTTTCTTATTGAGAATTAAACAAATCGACATTTTTAGTCAACTCATTGTCTACATAAATAAAGTTATTAAAAAAGATAGAGATCAGGCAAGCAATGAAAACTCGAATCATTGATATAATATTAGGGTTTAGGGTTAAAAAAACGTGAAACAAAATTAAAATATGACAAAAAAAAAATTGAATAACATGTAATATCATTAATAATTTGTTTTTGAATATTATGATTATTAAATGAAATTGAATAACATGTAATATTATTTGTTTATTTTTCATGTGGTAGCATTTTTTAATGCTGAAATCAATTCCATTTTAATCAAATATTAAATATGATACCGTATCAATTTTTTTAAAAAAATAAAATCTGTCTTACCTGTATAAAGAACATGATTCGTAAACAAAGTTATTTATTATGTCTCAAACTTACCTTCTTTTTTTTTTTTTTTTAATAAGTTATTAAAAAAATTTATTTTGTTATTTCACTTTTAATGAATTATTTCATTTTCAAATTAATAGCCAGCATTGATTTATTGCAGATCGCACTCAATGTCGGTAAAAATATCCTTCAATGATCACCTCATAAATTTTTCTTGCACTTTTGGTTACTAGTAGCAATATAGAAGGAGAGGGAGAACACAAGAGTTAGGTTTTTTCGAGTAGGTTCTACTTCGAGAGTCAAGTTCATGGTCTTATGTATGCAATCGAGCACAACATTAAAGATCTGTGTCGTGCCTACTACTAATTTGTTGAGTAATTAAAATGATACTTTGATAGGTAACGCTAATTGCTTAGGTTTCCTCGGTGTCATTAGTATAACTGTTTATGGTCCAATTGGATTATAATATTTGGACTCACATTCAATTAAGCACAAATGAAGCCTACCTCAATCAACCACGTTCGATTTTATGCAATCCACGTTCTTCTTTCTTTATTATTCTAAAAGTCAACTCGACAAATTTACACAACTTTTCAGACCATCATTTACATTTTCCACATTTTCTAAACTAATTAGTTCATAGTTAAGTTCATTGGATCATTTAGAGGGTTTGTGGAGTCCAATATAGAGGGTTTGTGGAGTCCAATCGCGCCGCTAGAGAGCCCAATCTAGATAAGTTGATGATCCTCTAATAACCTCGTAACCTATCGTATGAACCTAAGGAGGCATATGATCATACATCATAGATAAGGAGTAACAAATTACACAAAAACACATTTTTAAACATGTGGTTACCTATATGCTCTTGAGGCCAATTATCAATACGTGTGAATGGAAATTGTTGTTAAGACCATAAAACAATCACATATTTGTGTGTACAGGGATTGTACAATTGTGGAAATGAATAAGTACTTGACATTCGTTGGTTATTAAGGGCTTCCCGAAAATGTCTAGATCGGCTTTTAAATTAAGTTCAGAATTAGTAGATGCTGGAGTGCAGATGCTAGATGCTGTTGAACACAACTCGGAAACACTCGCACTCTTTATTAAGACCAATCGAGAAGAGAATACAAAACACTTTGTAGAATACTTTTGCTTTTTATTGCTTTTAGATTTCTTGGATGAATAACCTAGGTAGGGTGGAGGGTATTTATACTAATAGTAAACCATCTATATTTAACCAATCTAAATCTAGACCTAACCGATTTGAATCTATACTTAACAAATTTGAATCTTTCTCCTAAAATATCTAGATCGCTTTCTCCTAAAATCTCTACTAAAATAAATATACTGGGCTCGTACACTAATTGGGCTTGACTCTATTGGGCTAGTGATGATATTTCAACACTCCCCCTCAGCACTAGTCCTCATTCGCTGCACCATGTTGAGCTGACAGCGAAAACTCTCATGTTTGCCAGTATTCAGCCCTTTTGTAAACAAGTCTGCCACTTGGTCATCTGTCTTGATCTGCTGCATCTCGATTTCTTCCTTTAGGATCTTCTCTCGAATGAAATGGAAGTGCACCTCCACATGCTTTGCTCTAGCATGAAACATCGGATTTTCTGCAAGGCGAATCGCAGATTGATTGTTGCAATAAAGTGGTATTGGATACTCAATTTTCTAGTGCCAATCTTCCATCAAAAGTTTAAAGCATGTATTTTCCTGAGTTGCTCCAGCTACTGCTCTGTACTCTACTTCTTTAGTTGACAATGATATTGTTGGTTGTCTTTTGTTACACCAAAAAATTGTTCTTGAACCGAGCTTGAACACATACCCAGTGATTGATCTTCGAGTATCGTGGTCTCCTTTGACATATCTTAAGGTCGGTCGAGCTGCATCCAAATAAGGCTTCTTCAGATTTTGCATATATTGATCAATGACTCCAACTTCATTTTCGAATTTTTTCGGTTGGTCCATGTAGAACTCTCTATTTAACTCTCCCTGCAAGAAAGCATTATTCATATCCATCTGCCATAATTTCCAATCTTTATTTACCGTAAGTACTGGAGGAACTTGTACGATAATGATCTTTGCCACTGGACTAATCGTTTCATCATAATCTAGTCCATATTCTTGAGAGAACCCTGAATCTATAGTCTGAGCTTTGTATCTCACGATTGATCCATCCGGGGTACACATTATTTCGTAAGCCCACTTGCAAGAGATGAGTTTGGTATCTCTTGGTCTTGACACTAATTCCCAAGTCTGATTTTGTTCTAGGGCTATAGTTTCTTCCTCCATTGCTTTCTGCCAAGCTGAGTTTTGTGATGCTTCTTCATATGTCTCTGGCTCATTAACTTCGTCTTCTACTGCGTTGGCATACTCTAGATTTTCCTTTAGGATTATTTCTGAATGTCTGAGTTGTTGAGGTGTCATTTCATTTTCACTAGGCTCGCTTGGTTGAGTCACTTCTTGCTCGCCAACACTAGTGTCATTTGAATCTTCAGGCATATCAGCACTTGAGCAAATGTGTACAATTTGATTTGCTCCCCCCGTCTTTTGTGGAAGAATCTCTTCAGTTTGCTCCCCTATGTTCTGGAGAAGAATCTCTTCAGTTTGCTCCCCTATGTTCTGGAGAAGAATTTCTTCAATTTGCTCCCCCATGTCCTGGAGAAGAATTTCTTCAGTTTGCTCCCCCATGTCCTGGAGAAGAATTTCTTCAGTTTGCTCAAGGCGTGGTAATACTTCCTTCTCTAAGGGCCACCCCTCTTCCATTGCACCGCTTTGATCGTCAATCATGTGGTTTAAGCATCCTGAATCAATGATCCATTCATCCTCATAATCGATATGCTCTTCCATTGTCGCCATGAGTGCTAGCTCGTCTTCTTCTATGGGACATAGTACCTCTGCATCTCATTCATCTTCTATCTTCTTTTTGGATATTGCCACATTGCTTTCAATAGACTTTTTCCTGGACCAACAATCTCTAGACATGTGGCCCTTTTTCCTGCAATTATAGCAAATACCACCAAATCTCGTTCTTTGGAAACTCTTGTTGTCATTCTTCTAAGCTCTCTCAGGTTGTGCAATCCCTTGGTGGCTTCTTCTTTTGTCACCATTGTATCCATGTTTGGTAGACGGCCTATTATTGCTCCGACTTTCACTCGTGTAGAGTGCTTCTTCTTCACCCTTCAATGTGAAGCCTCCCATTTGTTTAGCCATGGCTTCTTGGCTGGCTAACAAATTTTCGAACTCTACAAGTGTTGGTTGAGTGGGCCATCCTTGTACAGCAGTAATGAAGCTTCGATATTTCGGTCGTAATCCGTGGATTATAATCCTCTTCATTCGAGATTCTACAATGGCGGACTTTGGGTCTAGTTCAGTAATCTCTCGACAGATTGATTTGACCTTGTGGAAGTACTGAGCAATTGTCATATCACGTTGTGTAATTGACAACAACTCATTCTCCAGAAGTTGTAGCCTCATATCGTTCTTCTTTGAAAACAACATCACGAACGTGTCCCATGCTTCTTTCGGTGTCTTGTCATCCCAAATATGTTCTAACATCTCTTCTTTGATTGTGGTCTTCAACGCAAACATTGCTTTGCCTGCTTTGATTCTCCATTTGCGCAAGGCGCCGTTGGAATCCTCCTCTGGCGGCGTAGTTTCACACCCGCCAACGATCTCCCAAAGATCTTGTCCTTGTAAATAGGACATCATGCGTGTTGCCCACGTGTTGTAGTTGTTGTTGTTGAGTTTCTTGATTCCTCCAACGATTTGGAAATCACCCATCGTGTTGGCCATACCTCAGTAATACCAAACAAGTTCTTTTGACACAAGACTTGCAGAGTCACAGACTTCTCACGACACAAAAGAAACTCACTCACCACTAATCTCAAGAAATCGTTTATGATGTGGAAGATCAGACAGAGCTGCAACCACAGAGCATAGTAAGGATTCCAAGAGATCAGATAACCTATACTAACTTCGCTCTGATACCAAATGTTGAACACAACTCACTGTGGGAAACACTCGCACTCTTTTTTAAAACCAATCGAGAAGAGAATACAAGACACTCTGTAGAATTCTGCTTTTTATTGTTTTTAGATTTCTTGGATGCTTTTTATTGTTTTTAGATTTCTGGGATGAATAACCTAGGTAGGGTGGAGGGGTATCTAAGAGTAAACAATCTATATTTAACTCATTGAATCTAGATTTGAATCTAAACTTAACAAATTTGAATCTTTCTAAAATATCTAGATCTCTTTTTATCTCTACTAAAATAAATATACCGGCTCTACAATAATTGGGCTTGACTCGAACAGATGCCACATGTAAAAAATGCCACATGTAAAAAGAAGATACTCAAAGACAAATTAGACAGATCCCCACATGTAAAAAGGAAGAGACTGATAGACAAATTAGACAGATCCCCACATGTAAAAAGGAAGAGACTCATAGACAAATTAGACAGATCCCTTTTGTGGATTTTTACTGAAGATTGGGAATCGATGGACTTTCCATAGGACCCATTTTATCGATGGACTTTCCATAGGAAAAATGCCACATGTAAAAAGAAGAGACTCAAAGACAAATTAGACAGATCCCCACCTGTAAAAAGGAAGAGACTGATAGACAAATTAGACAGATCCCCACATGTAAAAAGGAAGAGACTGATAGACAAATTAGACAGATCCCCACATGTAAAAAGGACATGTAAAAAGGAAGAGACTGATAGACAAATTAGACAGATCCCCACATGTAAAAAGGAAGAGACTGATAGACAAATTAGACAGATCCCCACATGTAAAAAGGAAGAGACTGATAGACAAATTAGACAGATCCCCACATGTAAAAAGGAAGAGACTCATAGACAAATTAGACAGATCCCTTTTGTGGATTTTTACTAGAGATTGGGAATCGATGGACTTTCCATAGGACCCATTTTAACGGGGTTTATCACCACTTTAGCAATTTGGCCAGTTACTCGAGATTTCCGACTATTCCATTTTTTAATGTTAGCTATGTATAGCAGTCAAATAGGATCATTTTCTGCTTGAGACCTTTTACTATTTTTTATCATGTGGGTGTACATTCAGGAGGTTCCATTTTTTTTGTTAATGGGAATTCTGGGTATCAATTTATTAGAACCAACTTTAAGTTTTGAAACATCGGCTAATCAAGCAAATAGAGCTTTTGCACATTTTCGTTAATCCATGAATAGGAGTTTAAAATTGGTTAAAGTCTATTTATTTTATCGCATTTTGTTTTGAATGTTTATATATCTAATCGCTTACTTATTCAGCATAGTTCCATCATCATACATAAATCTTATAGCAAAAAGGAGACTGATATGTAACATAGAAAATCTTTCATGCGTGTGTACTTTCATTCTCATCGCATAAAATTCCTGACTTAATATATCCGAACAATCACATAAACACTCAAATCAACAAAAAATATATATACTCGCGAGGTGTTCCAAACGTTAATATCATATATATTTGGATCACACATCCTACAAACATCAATTAATAACATTATAAATATCATTTGATTTCACATTCCAAGGCGATTTTATTAGAAGCAAATAAATAATTTCAATGACAAACATATCATTTTAAAAGATGATCCTCTGGTTTGTTCAAAGCTAGGGCTTGCATGTGGGCTGGAGAGGGTAATTTTACATCAGTAGCCAATCCAATGACCTGTAAAATCCTAATAACATACCAACCAGCGTCAAGTTGCCACCATTCAAGCCCAAGCCTAGCCGAATACTTAAAAGCATGGTGGTTATTGTGCCATCCTTCTCCAAATGAAGTCAAACCAACCCACCTTTAACCATATCAACCAAATGTTATGTTATGATTCGATCTTTCTTGTTGAACTTAAACATATGATAAAGAAAGAAATGGAAAATTACCAATTGTTTCTTGACAAATCGCCCGTTCTCCAATGTTGTTGTCCCCACATGTGGCATACCGAATTCACCATAAATGTTGAGTGAAATATCACTACGATCCTAACACACTGATAACGTCGATAAAGTTATATTCGTTCGTTCATGATTTATTGATCAAATAAAACAAATAAGTGTGATTTTATAGTACCATTCCCCATATAAGAAAAGGAAATCCTCCAACGGTGTAGAGTATGGCTGCAAGAGCCATGGGATGGAGAAGATAAGTCTTGTGAATAAATCTATAAAAGGTTTGTCTCTCCAGGTCGCCAACGTTCTCGGGTTTTCTATACTTCGAGAAATATACAAACATGTTTTTTTCTATCTTCTGAAGATCACTAGAATACTTTGGAGAAACTTTGTCGGTCAAAGTGTAGGAATCGAAAAGCCACATTATATGACTCATCCAAAACCCTTGAATAGGGCTATGTGGGTCTCGTTCGGTATCAACAAATTGATGGTGACACCTATGCGTACTTACCCAATCAATTGGATCACCCTAAAATTCATAAAACAATAAAAATCAAAACAAAGTGAATATCTATTAAAATAAATGTGTATAGTAAAAAGAGAGCAAACCTGAAGAGCGTGAACTCCACAATAAGCAAACAAATATTCGAGCCATTTAGGAATTTGGAAACTTTTATGAGCAAGATTTCTATGGTACGATATAGTCATTCCAAAAAGACCCGTGATAATCTGCAATGTGACGGCTACCCGAAATGCAGGCCAGGTGAAATGAAATGGTGCCAAAATACAAAGGAGATGCAAAAGTAAAATAACATGAGCAACGCGTTTGTCTAATTTAGTCCATTTTCTCCTCCAAAATGATCTTGGAGGCTTCACCATTTCCTTTGGTTCTTGCTTTGAGGCATCCGTTAGCAACGCTGGACGAGGCTTCCCCTCCTCCTCTGTCATAGGTTCAATTGGTTATGATATTATATCTTCGACCAAAATAATAATAACGAATAACGACGTTCTCGTCGAGTAACATAGTATTATTGAAACAAAAAGAAAAACTCATACCCAAAAGAAGTCTATGCATTGAGGCGGTTGAATAGTTGTGTTGAGAGCTTGAATGGATTGAATAAAGGGCGAATGTTGTGAAAGGGTGATTCTGTTAAAAGGGTAATTGAGTATGAATTAGTCGAGTCAATTCTAAATTTGTTGCAACAATCTTCTCCTCTTTTATCTCTTCTACCCTAATTTTCTGCTTTACCCTACCATTATTATGACCTCCCTCAAACATATCTCACAAATATTGACTTGATCATTTATGTATTTTAAGTGTATCTGGATATTTTCCATTGTTATTAGTACAAAAGTAGCATGATCTTGCGCTAGCCTGATGAGACAACTCCTAGGGGCGCTCACCTGACGAGACAAGTTCTAGAGGCGCTCATGTGAGTCATGTGTAAAGAAGTACTACACATCTAATTCTATCCGGACTAGAAAACAAAACTCAAGGTCATGTCATGATATTTTTACGAAAGGATAGATCCCACCATATTGCATGTGATTGTATTTCCTACCTACTGTTCATGAAGGTCATAGAACCAAGAATAATCAATTCTAATTTTTTAATGGTGGTTCCAAAAAAACCACATTTCTATATCAAAAAAAACATGTTCAGAAAAATATTTGAAAAATCAAAGGGGGTCGGACAGCGTTGAAACCTTTTTCGATTGAAAGATCAAAATCAACGAAGTAATGAAAGATTTTTCGATTGAAAGATCAAAATCAACTAAGTAATGAAAGATTGGAAGAATAGATCAAGGCGTGCATGTCTATTATGTCATTGATGTCTATCTTTATTTTAAATGACTTTACAAATGTTGCTCATAAGTCTTATTAAATGTTTTAAATGAATTTTTTTCACATATAATAGTCATATCATATAAGTAGTAGAAAAAATAGGATCGTTACATCAAATTTTTACCATTACCATTGATGTAACAAGTATTACTTTGTAAGTTAATTGTTATTAATTTATAATGTTCTATTAGTAACTGGATTGAACTATTGTAGATGTTGATGATAACCTATCACCTAACAGCCCAATTTCTTGTACTTAATATCAGAACCTTATTGTCAATAGATGTGAACGTAATATTAAATGAAAACTATTGAATAGCAACACTTTGATGACTTTTTTAAATCTTTTGTTCAATATATCTAATGCATTATAAATATCCAATCTTTGGTCGGTGACGAATCTTTGTAATTCCATTCAATTTTATTGTAGTAAGTCATTAACTAGAATACCCTTAGGTTTGGTTCGTAATATGTAACGACTATTTTAACAATTGAAATAAAAGTAGGTACTATATGGATGAATTAATTATGAAACGTGAAAAAAATTTTAAAAATAATTTCAAGATGGTGTCATAGACTTATATATTTATAATAAAATCGTTAAACAGATAACGTAAAAGTTAAATGTTAAGTGAAACAAAGAAGTGATGACATGATCTAACTTAAGGGATACAAATATCATGAAATGTGTTACCTTAGTTGTAGTTCCACGGCCGTCACCGTGACGTTTTCATCCATGCAAAAATAATTTCAAGATGGTATCATAGACGTATATGTTTATAATAAAATCGTTAAACAGATAACGTAAAAGTTAAGTGAAACAAAGAAGCGAATTAAACAATGACATGATCTAACTTAAGGGATACAAATATCATGAAATGTGTTACCCTAGCTGTAGTTCCATAGCCGTCATCGTGACGTTTTCATCCATGCAAAGGAGCATTTCCTTTACATGAAAAAGTAAGAGTAGCACGTGACTTGAATATATAGTGATCCCATTATTGGGGTCAGAAAATACATATACAATCAATCATGGAGGGACCTAGGTCCCTTTTTGTAACGATACGCGTTCTAGAAAAAAAAAAAAAAACCTCTGCGATGGTTGCTAAGAGAACGTACTATTTTCTCGAGTCCCCACATTAAACCCTAGGGTATCTAAGTAGCCACCCTTCTGTTGAGTCGTTGTTGTACCATGAGAGAGAAGCAGTAAGATTGAGATGGGGGATGGATAACGCCGCGAGACTTCGGACGTTTGCGAGCCTTAGGTGGGAGTGAACCAACGCTGGGGTACTTCGTGACAAGGAGGACAGACGCACCGTCAGGGACGAACGGACGACGATGATCTCATCGGCGACGGTAGTCAAGTTCAGCGATTAGGGTTCGTCGGGACTCTCAAGTGAGGAAGACAGAGCAGCGGGCGCAGGTCGGTTCTTCAGGTATCCCGCGAGTTCGCCGTAGCCAGCGTACGACCCGTACCCTGCAGGCCGCACTCGGACACCGTCACTAGGCTGCGTTTCCATTCCAGCCCAAGACCAGCGACACCAAACGCGTCCAAAAACCATGCGCCATTAGTGACCTTCGCAGCTCGTCGGCTCGGCACTTCGGCTTCATCGGCGGCTCCATTGCATTCTGCGGCTCGGCTCGGCGACGTGGCTTGGCGGCTCGGCAGCTCGGCTTAACGGCTCGGTATACGAATAACATATCGGTTTCTAGGTTTCCAACCCTTCTGGAACCATTCCCACCCTTGTTTCAACCATCTAAGATCAGTATAACTCCACTTCGATAAAAACCAGGTTGTGATAAGAGCGTACCTTGATAGTTAGGCATAAGGGCTAGTTGTGAAAGGACTCTAAGTATATCATGTGATCTTATAAGGGTAGTTAGGCACCAAAGTTAGCGACGAGAGTGACTTCGGCCAAGGCCAAGGAGATAGTATCCTTACTGTTGGCGTTAGTTATCTATGTGTAATGATGCGTACACTGTGGCCTTCGCACGTACCATGTGTGCTGTCAACGTATGCTATGCCATGAGTTTATCTTGCTGTGAAATGCCAATGTATGCTATGCTATGTATTTTCTTGTGGTGAAATGTCGATGTATGTCATGCTCATGTATGCGATGTTGTTGCCATGAATTGTTTACCCTGTATGCATGAAATTAATTGACATGTCATGAATGTGTTGGGAGTGTTACGTGTCATGGATGTGTTGACTGGTGTACTACAATACACTCATATGATGTTTCATTAAGTCATGCTATGTAACGCGATGAGGGAAATGAAACGATGTACGTGCAATGCCATGGGGGTAGGCATTAGTGACCTCATGCATATTGTGTCTTATGCATAGGGTTACTGCATGTTATGTAATGATGGTACGAACGCGTACACTCGATATTATGCTCGTTATGATATCATGCGAACCTCCTCCTTTTCTGTGGCGTCTAGTAACGTATGTCATGCGTACCCGACCAAGCTAGGCCTAGGGGGTTTAATACGAACCCACCTGGTGGGCCCACATTGACGTATGTGGGCCGTGCGTGAAGAAGTACCACGCATCCACCCTGCCCGGATAAAGTCAAGGCCTAAGGCCATGTAAAAAGGGGAATGGAAGGTAGCCCCCTCATGTTTGCTTTTCTTTGCTTGTGATTGTGCATGTGTGTTGTGTGTGAACTGCTTGTGTCCTGAATGTGTATTGTATGCTTAACCCCAACAGTGGGGCGACTTACTGGGTATTTTATATAATACTCAAGCCACGTACTACCTATATTTTCAGGTAAGAGCAAGGCTCCCATGTACGGTTGGCGGTGAACGTTGCGAAGGCCATGGAAGTCTTAGAGAGGGCTTATAGTGTCGTAGACGTCTTGTTGAGATTCTTTCGAATAATTTGCAATTGTTTCCCCTAGTTAATTGTTGATTGATTTTCCAATCAAGTCGTTGCTATTGATTTTCCAGTTACGAACTACTTATAATAATGAACATGTCGTCGCTATTGAGATTGTCTTATATGAATTTTTGCACTTTTGTCATATGAATGCAAGGTAACGCACTAATTAGGTTAAAGAAAATTAGGAGCATTACACTTTCATGAAATCATTTCATGGCCTTAGACTATGCTTTCTAGCCGAGGCTAAAATTGTATGTATAGTATTCCTCTACACACGGCTCACATACATGCACATGGACCCATTAGGCGGCCAAATACGTACCTCTGAGCCTGCCCTTCAGCTAGCGGCCATGGAGTGAAAGAGGTTTGTATAGTATTATGGTGTGTACAATATCGTACCATAACATCATGTGAACATAAATGTCGTAAGATACGCGTTCATACTAATCATAACGGAGAAGTATCTCGATGCATATGACACACAAAAATGTATGAAATCCCCATAGCTGTAAATCTGCATACATAAACATTTTCATGAATACATTCTTGGCATATCACACATTTTACAATCTTAAAAATAATCATGCTAACATGGTGTGTATAGCATATCATACGATAACATATATCAAAAAGACATCATCACAAAGTCAATAGCATAACACAACATTACATGACATAATTTACGTCACTATATATAACCTGATCTTACTCCGTGACATCTCTTCTATTAAATCACCATGTGATTTTACCTCTAGAGCTGTAATTACCCATGGTTTGAAATACCACTAAAGTTTTGAAATACCACTAAAGTTTCTAGAATAAGTGATACATAAAAATATATTAAAAATACATTTTAAATCAACTTTCAAACTTTGACATGAATCTTCATTCTTGACCACATCATGTCACCGGCCATCATCTCTCTCTTAGCCGTTTTACAATGTGATGAACATCTTTTAGGCCATAGACTTTTGGGTTTGGCGAAATGAAGAAAGAAAAGAAATCCAAAACGTGAAAATTATGCTACAACCCTACCATTCATGCGTTTGGAATTCAAGAGCATGAACACGAATTTTAAATGATTTAAATTTATAAGTAAGTCTGAAGTGTATTTTCAAAATGTCTAATAAATTCTTAAACTTTAGAGGATAACATATTAGAACGATATTCTTTGTTTTTAAAATTGAAAACAAAAACTGGGTTTTGGGTTATCTTAAAGAAATCGAAATATCTGGTTGAAATTTCTCTCCCCAAACTCAGAAATCTCATTGTTCCATTTCCACCTTATCTCCTTTTCGTCTCTTTTTTCTTTAAACCCTTTTTCTTTTTCTTTTTCTTTTCCGTTTTGTTTGA